CTGTACTCTGCCAGCTGTTTGCTACCCTTCTATCGCCCCACACTCTGCACTCCCTGACGCTGCTGCTTGCTGGTGGACGCTGGTAGACGCTACTAGTCCCTAGATCGATTCCTATACTTCCTCAGCCTCGAGACGCTGCTGGTCGCTGGGGATGCTGGCAGACGCTAGATTGATATCTACACTTTCCTATTTGCTGACGGTCCCGGACACTCGGAACGCTGCTGGCCGCTACTGGACGCTGCAGAACGCAGCCTTATACGCCTAACGATCTCTGGGAATGACTCATGTGGAACCTGAGTTAGGTAGAAGAAATGTATCGAGTCCATGGAATGTCGTTACATTTGAAGCGCTACCTCTTGTCATACCCTCTGTAAACCTTAGTCTCGTAATGGTCATCACTCCTTTGTGTTTAAGAATCTCCAGGTTCACTTGCCAATCAGCTCTACCTATCGGACTCTCTAGAAAGTAGCAAATGGACATTTTTGAAAGTAAGCCAGCATGGTGTGTGCTGATTTTCCCCGACAATTCCAGTGCTTTCTCCGAAAACTCGGACATGGTCCTAGCTGATTTGCATGTGTTTTTGTTCTGAAGTTGTTCTTATGCTTGAGAGCAGGAATGGTCCTTGAATACTGAGAATGAGCACAAGATGACGGCGATTGTCGGTAGGCTCTCGATGGTGTTTTTAGTGTTTTGTCGGTTTTGTGTGGCAATAGACGAGCTTCTCATGCATTCTGTATCGTCGTCCACGCCTCACCGATTCAATGATCATCTCTTTCATCTGCCATGTACTTTTATTATCAGGATTTCAGGCGCCGACCGAATGTCCTCCTTTGGTGATTTCATCGCTTTGTCAGAGAAATGTGACGAACTTACCGCAAAAATCATCAACAGGTTAGTTCTTTGATAGGTTTCGCCAGCTTTGCTTAACAAATCGCAAACCTGGCCGTTTAGCTGTGGCTCCCTTTTGAGTGTTTTGCCTGTCCGGGCGCGTGCATTGCTGCCAATGCACAAGGACAAGAGGCGGAACTTTTTGCCGTTCGCATATTGCTACCTCAAGATTTCGAACTTTTTTGTTTATGGAACCTTTGACGGGTAACTCAGAGTGCTGTTTATGACTATGACACCCATTTCCCGTGCCAGCCCCAAATGTCGTTAAGTGGCACCAGCGCTGCGTAGCCCTTTTTTTCAGCCAGTTCGATGCGGTCTCACGCGCTACGGTTATTTGGGGTCCATTACGGATATTATATAGATTTTGAGCGTAAGCGCTTTGTGGAGCCTGATTTTTGAAAGCGTCGGCTCTGGCAAGTTTTATCATCAAATTGCTGCAATCTTTCATGTAGAGGTCAAAAAGTTGTTCTCTCTGTCGGCTCCAATCTTCTTTTTCAGAATGCGGCACGCATTTCACTTCCCACTTAAACTCGTAGTCTCTTAATGAATACGAAGTGGTCCATGCAATGAATTGCGGGGTCCAATGTAGAAGTCAGTGTTTTTATCCTCCTAGACGGACCTGGTAGCATTTGACGCGTCAGAGAGCTGGTACCGTGGGGGAAGAGCTCATACGAAATTTCGATCGATCCCCGGCGCGCGTGGTAAACGTGCCACTTGCTACTACACCACCTCAGCCTCATCGGATACATTCACCTGTATCACCTGTGCTCCTGTTGATTTGTGAGTTTCTCAAGCGAGTAACATCTCCATTCGTCCCTGCAACGTGCTGAAGTTGTCCCGTGGGTTCTCTCTGCTCGAGGGGCATGATGAACTTCATAGGATACATTAGCAGGCTCTTAATAAAAGCTTAAACTACAAAAGGGTAAGTATCGTGAAACGAAGTCTTGAAACGAGGCATCTGTAATTCGAGTACTCAGTAACGTCTAGACTTCGAAGTTAAACGCAAGTGGCACGATAGTCCCCGAGAGCATTAGTAGCCTAGCGAGAATTAGGCGCCGCTGAGCATGCGTTGTGTGGCGCCTTTTCCAAGGGGGGGGGGGACGGGCAAGAGAATCGTAATTTACTGCTCCACCGCGCGCGGCGATGGGGCGCTTTTTTCTCTTTTCTTAACTCGTGTTAACCTGTCGATTAGAGCACCGAACATAATGTAGACTCCGTCATCGTAGACATTCATGACCATTTTTGTCTGAATTGCCTGTTGTCGCCATCTACTACCTGGAACCATCGTCATTTGCGGGCGCGACGTCGCACGCGACGCCCACCAGCGCGGTGAATTACGATCCTCTTGTCACATACCCTTTTCCAGGAAGGTATAGCACCCTACCGAGCTGCATCATACCGACCCGGATACTCACCGCGCCCCACCAACAAATATGCCGCTGATGCTCGTATCGCTTCATTCCAAAGTACCATATGAATGGAAGGGGTCGACATGAAGCGGTAGCGGTGCTGCATAGATATATCAGTACATACATGCAGCCGCATCTACCGTAGCGGATATTAGCACGATGCCAGCGGAAAACTCGTCCGAAATTGCTTTCAGAGTCGCGCAGAACAAAGGGTTCTTTGCAGGTTTTCGGCCGCTGCACTTTGCTTTTTCGCTATTATCCCACTATATGGCACCCCTGCTACCATTTTGGAAAGAGTGCTTAATTATCGTAACTCATGTCCTTAACGAGAAAGGAATGGTGCAAGGAATGTTTCAGTTCAGAGCGTTTTTTGGTTTTGTTTAAGCTGCACGTTGTTTAACGCCGCCAGCACGCCCGCGGATCCGAAAGGTTTCGATAAGAACATGCTGGAGTGCATGGCCAAAAGGTAGGGAACGCAGCTGCAGCGAGAATGCAGCAAGGATGCGGGTTCGAATCCCGTCCGTGGCCGACTTTTGCCCATAACTCAGCATTCTTGCTTTCTGAAAGTGAAAGTGAAAGCTTTCAGCAGAATATTATCAGAAGTTCTGCTGAGATAGCTATATGAGCGGAATAGCGCCCAATTTTCAAAATTTTCTAATTTATTTCACGCTATAAAAATACAACATCATCAAAATATGTCGACAACCTGACAACATTCTTTCCAAGAAACCAGTTGATATACTTCCGATTATCTAGAAAGAACAATCTTGTAAGTGTGCATAGCCAACAATGCACGCGTCCTCAACGTGCTGAATTTCTCAATCTGATAAAGTTCCATGTTATAGGGAGGTATCCGACGGTATCGTCGCACCCAGCTACGAACCCGCGGCTTTGAGCCTGCTTGCCAAGAAGAAAAATGGCAACTATTGTGTGCTGAAGGTTGTACCTCATACTTCCATATCAGGACCCATAATGATATAATCCGTTCCAGGTGAATCCAAACTACGTTCCCACAGAGACTGAGGAGAGGAGCGTGTTCGGCTTAAAACTACGACAGAAGCGCAATAATGCTGTTATTAACGCCACCACCTTCATCAACGTCGTCGGAAAACACAACAACGTCAGTTTGATGCCATCGTTTTTAGTGGTCTCTGAAACGCATGTTTGTTGAAAAATCCAATTTTCTCGAGTGTCCATCTTCAAAATTGAGTTACTGCCGGACAACTTAGCAACATATCGCGAAGGTCTTATGTAACTTGTCCAATACATATCACTGGCCACCCTTTCACTGAAGGGGAAGGGTTCGGTGTTAGAGAGTTTTTCAAGAGTGCGCTACGTAACCGTCTAACTTGCATCAACAGTCGTGGCCCAATTTCGACCTATTTTTCAAGACAGCGTGGACCCATCGAGAGGAATGGGGAACCGAACCTGCGGCTCAACTGACAGCGGGAAACTCACCACTGAAGAAATGAGGAAACGAGATACTTGAAGTATAAACAGCCGTGATATCTTCAGGCATATCTCCGTCGCAGGGACAACTTTTCAACCCAGCCTCAGGTAAAGCAACCATATCTGATAGCCGATAAACGATTCAGTATTTCAGTTCTCATAGATTATTCTGGTGCCCGAGGGTAGAGGGTTCTGTTGATCTGGGCAGGACTCTATACGAGATTTGAGCGCTGGATGGCGCGTGGTGACTGGACCAGTTGCCACAATCCCTCCCGATAATTTGATAACAGACCGAAAAACATCCGCAGGTGATAGCGATTTTACAGTGGAGTCCTGATAAGTGCACGTTCCGTATCATGAATTACTTCCTTGCTGAGTTCCGATCGTGTCATCGGAAGTGCTAGGATAAGTTAGGCGCTAGGCGGGTAGCGTTCATCTCCTGAACTCGAAACACGTTTAGATCTCCGAAGAAGACTACCACGGCGAAACTTCAGGCCGTTGTTTTGATTAGTTTACCTAAAAACACGACAGGCACAGCACATTAACAAAACAGACGGGCACTGATTACCTTTTACTGCCCCAGTTGCACCAGATTTCGATATCCAGGTCGGAACTTCCATTTGTCTTGAAGATGGCATGCAGGGGTAGTTTGACCTGTTGAACATAAATGTTCGCATCCGCTCAGCCCGATACCGACTGGCACTTACGCCACGGGCACCTGCTCCTATATACCTTGAATCGCTAAATTCGCTGAGAACATGTCTCCAGGGGTCGTTTGACCTATTGGACACAAATAACGCAACCGTTTGGTCTGGAATCATCTGAAGCACGTGTCACGCGCGACGGCACAACACGCTGTATCGACTGCAGCACGAACTCCAGCTGGTTTTGTGCCGAGTGGATGATCAGTTAGGGAGACACTGCAGCACCCTTCCTGGCTGCCTGTGGTAGTGATCTTTCACTTTGCTAAAGCTCATGCTTACCAGGCAATGTATCACTGTCTTGAGGAAGGGTGCAGACGAGTAGAAGCAAACCGCGCTGCCACGCGTACCCTCCGCACGCCTTTCACTCCATCTCTAACATACTTGGTCCCTCATGCAGATGTGATATCCGTGTTCAAGCGGTCAAACTATCCCAAAGAAGAAGTTTTTTGCGAGTTAGGTGGACATACATTACGACGCCTGCTCCTGCGGCACGAGCTCCACGCGGTTTTGCGTCAAACTAAAGCTAATGTGCTAGTTGTGTTGAGGAAGTCAATCTACCTTTGCAAACAGGTTTCCAGCGGATTTGGTGAATTAGGGTCTTTGGATCAAACTACCCTTGGGAACAACATTTCCAACGTATTCGCTAATTTAGAGTTTTTTGTTCATTTGGCGATAGCGAGGGGGTCAGAAAAAGTC